TTGGCTCCCTCTTTTATATTCTCTCTCTCTCTCTCTCTCTCTCTCTCTCTCTCTCTCTCTCTCTCTCTCTCTCTCTTCTGTCTTCTATTCCTAACCAGGCTAAATCTTCCTGGTCGCACATGTTTTCCTTTCCTCCCTCTTGTTTTCTCCTACTTCTCTCTCCATTCGCTGCTCCCCCCACTTCCCCTGAGCTCTGGGGGACTTGTCCCTTCCCTGTTCTGTGAGGGACTTTATATGAATCTCTTAGAATACACCTTGTATCCCTGTTCCTCTGGTGGTGTGAATTATAGGCTGGTGATCATTTGCTCTAGGTCTAAAATCCATATATGAGGAGAACATATCATGTTCCTCTTTTTGTGACTGGGTTACCTCATTCAGGATGGTTTCTTCAAGTGTCATCACTTGCCTGCGAATTTCAAGATACCATTATTTTTTTCTGCAGAGTAGTATTCCATTGTGTAGATTTGCCACATCTTCATTATCCATTCTTCAATTGAGGGGCATCTAGGTTGCTTTCAGGTTCTTGCTATTACAAATAGTGCTGCTTCTATGTTTCTTTTTCAATTAATTAATTTTATATGATGACTTCAGTTTCTCATCCCTCCCTTCCTCCTCTCCACCCATTTCCTCCCATATCCCCTCTTATCCCCATTTACTCCTCCTTTGTTTCTGTCCAGAAAGGGACAGGCTTCCCATGGTTAAAATTAATTCCCCATTAAAATCCTCTCCATGGATCTGAGAATCTCTATGATATGTTTTATGAAGCTTTCTAAAACTTGTATCTTAGCCCTAAGATGAGCCAAAATTTTTAGTGATAAAACCAAAATGATGAAACTGATATTGCTCATAAGTGACATTACATAATTCCCATCTTAATTAGTTATCCTCTCATTTAATCATTTTATTTTCCAGCTGTCCACTGTATTTTCAAACAAGGACATAAATCCTTCCATTGTAATAGTATTTCTAGTTTTTGACATGGGAAAAAACCCTCTCTTTTAACTAATTTCTCCCTTTAAGAATTCCCAATTTTCTTAACAAATTTGACAATGATGTAATGGAATTTTGATGCACAGTTCTCTGAATGGAGAACATGAACAGTGCACAGGCTGGCTGAGGATAGTTGCAACTGCTTGCATGTAGCAGTGAACTTAGGTTGGTAGTTCAATGGGAGGGTATCTAAAAAAAAGCTTGAAAGCCAAGGGGTGGGGTTGGGGGAGAGCCAGATTTCTGACAAATACACATGGGATTATTTGCAGTATTTGTCTGAAGGCATAGCATGCTAGTTTAAAGCAGGTAAGTTCTATGGCGTTTGGAGGCCAGGTGCTTGTGGAGTTTGGGTGGCAGCTGGCAACTCTTAGATAGAGCAAGGAGCAAAATTGCAACCACCGTACCTATGTAACTTCATCGACAAAGAGAGACTGAGCTCCTGTCTTCCTCTGCCTTTTCACTTTCTCTCTTTGCCCAGACATGTCACTTTTTGTCTGTTTGTACAGACCTGCAGACCTTTATATTTAGCTAATGACTGGCTCCACCCTCTGATCTTCAGGCAAGCTTTGTTTTCACAAACAAGATTTAATCACAGGTTAAGTGACCAAGAATAGAGTTAAAGAAGGGAAGACTAGTCTTGGCTGTTGCATACTATACAGGCTAAGTTCTGTATAGTATGAAAAATATGTGGGTAAAGATGTCATAAGTAAACTTAAGTCTAGACGCTGGAGGAGGACATGGGATGTCTGCATATAGGGTTGGTGAATGTAAGTGGTTGATATATATTCTTATGAGGGTCAAGACATTTTTTTTGTTTTGTTTTAATGGAAAAGCTGAAAGAAATAAGAGCCCAAAAGTTTAATCAGGGTGAGAAGAAAATTGACCTTCTACCTGTGATTTGAGAACTGCAGTTCATTGAGAACTAGAGTTCTCTATTTTGCTTCTTTCTTTCCATTGCATTCCTCCAATTTAACTAATTTTCCAAACTAGTAAATTCTTTTTATGTTTTAGTCAATGATCTCTAGTGCATTCATAAAGCATCTCTCATTATGTGTCTTAAGACATTCAGAGACTCATCAGTCTAACAGTGAATGAAGTAGAAACTCTTAATTGCATACCAGTTACAGTTCTACACCTGGGACTCAGGGTTCCTGAATGTAGTATCTAGCCATCTCAGTCTGGAGTTTATAAAGGCAAAAATATGAAATTACTTTCTGTTCTCCTGCAAGCAGAAGGTCCTTTCTGGAAAAGAAGCTTTTGTGTACAAAAGCAATAAATACCAGTTAATCTTATGACCTTGGCTAAACAACAGTTGAAAACAAAATGTATAAAACCTGGTAATACAAAATTTAACCCTACACAGCCATTAACATTTGAAGTCCATTTTTGCATTATAGTCCTCCTAAGCACAGTAATTTTAAGTTTTTAAATGTAAAGTTAGCCTTCACCATAATGACAGTCATCACCTCACAACTGTTTGTCTTGAATATTAAAGTAATACCCTTGTCACATCTTTCTTGACCTTCACTCCCCCTCTCTATATCTATCATCTATCTGTCTACCTATCTTTCTATCCTCGCCTATTTATCTTTTGCACATTATAATTACCACAACGATTATAGGTGGAAATATGATACGTTAGCCAAGTACTGAAGTTTTTCCATGGCTATTCCTGACCTAGAGAGGAATTACACATGAATGGAATTATTTACAAGACCTAACAGATGAATCTTATTAGAACACACCCAGCACCGAGTCCTTCTCACAATGTACTGTGCTTTTTGATCTCCGCATGTTTGTTTTTGGGTTTCTTACTTCTGTGTGAGATTTATGTTTTCCCTTGCCTTACCCACCATAGCTGTTCTGATATTTAGAATGAAAATCCTGGAGGAATTTTATTTCTTCTCTCACTTACTACCCACTTTTAATCATGGATTTATTGAACATCATTCAGTTGTCCTACTTCAACTGTGTGCCTTAGAAGTTGTCCCTAGTTATATTAATTTACCTAGTAGTTGGCCTACAAACCCTGCTAATCTATCCATAATAATTAGAAAAAAAATCTTTACAATGGATCTATGCTAGCTTTTCCTAGCCAGGAGAGCCAACAGAGGCTTTCTCAATTGTCTCTGCTCATTCTATACCAGGTTTCTGCTCACAGAGATATTAATCAAATCATAATAATTTTGTATAATTTATCCTCTGGAGTGCTTGTTTCTAATGCACAAAATATCATTCATTATCTAATTTCTTTTATTCAACCATGACAATGTACCCAGACATATGCCATGGAATCAGTTATTAAAAAGAATAAGAATAGTTAACTTCAATAATTAGAAATATATGTTTTACATGAAATACACAGATAATAAAATCTCCTTTGCATTAATATTCAGGTCTGAAATATAAAAGATTAGTCTCTCAGATGTGTGCTATCACTAACTGTATAAAATATAAGAATACATAAATTTCAGAATTGATCAGCTAAAATATATAGATGTCGAGCTTTTATTTTAGCTTACTTAGAATTTTTATGACAATCATAGAGTAAAAAAAATTACATTGCTATGCAAAATTTTTTCCACATTTTCCACATATGGTTGTGCTTCTGTCTGAACATTTAAAAACTGATTTACATGTGTGAGTGTTTAGTCTCCATGTATGTTTGCACAGCATACTTGTTTATCTTGGAAGTCAGAAGAGGATGTCTTTCTCCCAGGATCTGTAGTTTACAGATGGTTGTGAGCCTCCATTAGTGAGCTGTGAATCCAGCCCAGGTTGACTGAAAGAGGAGTCTGTGTTTTAATTGCTGAACTATATCTCCAGTCTTATGTCTGTGTATTGTAAATGCCTTAATGACTGCTGAGCACTACAGTTAAAGGTCAGGACTAGAAAGATGGATTAGCCATGAAAAGATAAGCTTACACACAAAAGTATATAAATTAATCTCCTCATAAGGTGAATTTTGAATATGCTTTTTTATGGAGCGTATTTTTTATCAAAAGAAATTTAAAATTTCTTTATTACTAACAGAAATCTATTTTTAATGGAAAATTAGTGACACATGTATGAGCACTTTTTTGTTGTCAGTATGAAGGGTCAGATATGGTAGGTAGTTTCTCTAAAACTTAAAAATTGGAGTGCAGAGTGCTTTGGGTAGCAAAGCAGGCACCAGGTGTTCCATTTAGAGACTGTATCTGGTCTAGAGAGAAAAATAAGTGAACATAGGCCTACATATGATGCTGAGCCTGATGTGTGCTCCCTACATTTTCCTTTGTTTCAGGAGATGCTTAATATCTAATATCCTGAACTGCCCAGGAGTGAAGCTAATAGAACCTGGAAACATGCATTTAGATATAATACATGAAGTTTACATCCTAGTTTGAATGCTCATTTGTGAAAATTTTCTTCCACTTCATCACTGGTGGATTTAAATATGACTTGTAAATTTTCTAAAATGCCTCACGTTACACAAAAGTCTAATTGGCTGGGCCAGGGCCTTTGGTGGTTCTCATTCATGCTGCAGTTGCATGTATTTATGCCCACTAAGGCTATATCCAAAGAACATTAAAGAAATTAACATGTGGTTTACCATGTAATGTTTAATATTTGTTTGTGTTTGCCATCATCACACTGTAAGTCAGAAAATGTCATAACACATTGTAAAAGATCAGAGACAGAATCATAGACTGGGTATGTTTGAACAAAGGGAAAAGAATGACCCTAAGTTTAGGCTGTTCAATACGACATGCTTTGTTTTATATTTCAAAGGTTGTCCAAATTTTCCAAAATTTAAAAATGTTTTCTGATTATTTGGAATTACATAATAACTTGAACTTTTTGCTGCTTCATTTTTAAAACTGATATATCTAAAAATAAGGTAATCAAATTTTAATATGGACCTGCTTGTCATATTGTATGAAGTAAGAGCTGTTCTACAGGTACTGGTCAGAGCTGTAAATCTCTATATAACACAATGTTTGGTCTGTTCTGTTCTAATGTATCTATAGGCAGAATGCTTTCCAAGTTGTTGCTGTGGATGGAGTCTGCAGTGGAATTATTCAGTGTCTCTCTGCTGAAGACTGCTTGGATTGGCTCCAAGCATTAGCAGCTAATATTTCAAACCTCACAAAGCACAATGTAAGTACTGATTCAAGGAGTAATTATATAGACATAATGTCTTTCAGCATTCATAGGAGAAAGTCTTCCAGCATGCTTAGGTTTATTCAGTGCTGTTTAACTTTCATACTCTGCTAAGAGCCAATACCAGAAGGAGCCTCCTTCTACTTCTTTGGAAAGCTTATGAAACACAAGAAATAAAGTAACTCACCATGAGGGCCCAGACATGAGTGACTTGTGTGAGACAACACTCAAACTTTTCTTTTGCCCAAGACAGAAACAATGGCTTTAAATAAACATGAAAGTGAATTTGTCATGGAAATGGTATATTTACCTAAGGGCATCCTAAGCAAATAGGCAACTGAATTTAAGGAAATGTTACTTATTTGTCATCAGTGACTTCAAGACTGCAGCTGAAAGTAAGTAAATGAGGAGTGTAGCACAAATTCTACTTGGTCTTAATAATAAAAACCTGGAGCTCTATATAGGGGTAAACAAAGGATGAAAGAGCAGAAAAGCAGAGCATGAGCAACCAGCTCTTTTTTTTTTTTTTTTTTTTTTTTTTTTTTTTTTTTTTTGCATATAGAGTATTTTTTATTTAATTTTATATAACAAAGTCCAATTAAATGAAAACAAACATTTATACACAATATTTGGGAATTTGGGCGTCGTTCTTTCCAAACTACTTCCTGCTGGTAAGGGGCGCTGTCTTGGGGGATTCGAAGAAGATTCAGATATCCTAGCTGTAGTCTGTAGGGCTGTTTTGTCCAGCTGTTTGGAATGTAGGATCAGCTTGTACTCTGTTTCAGGCGGTCTGGTGTGATCAAACCACATTAGTCTGGAAGGAATCCACATCTTTTCATTTTCTGTGGAAACAAAAATAGAAATACTTTTCCCCAGTAACTTGTTCTTCAACTTAAATTTTGGAGTCAAAGCGTTTTTTTTTTTTTTTTTTTTTTTTTATTATTATTATTTTACATGTCGATCCCAGTTCCCTCTCCCTCCCTCCCTCCCTCCCCCCAAGCCCTCCCTCCCTCCTTCCCTCCCTTTTGCCCTCTCTACCCTCTCCCATGCACTCCCACCACAATACAATATGTAGGGGAATGCCATCCAGTTGGGGTCATGTAGATCTGACAGGTCCTGTGAAGTAGGGACTAGGGCTTCTCTCCTATCTCTAGAATAAGGCAGTTATCCCTCCATGGGGGATATGTTTGCAAAGTCCTTTTGTGCACCAGGGATACATCCTGGCTCCACTGTCTGAGGTCTCTTAGGCTGCTCAGACCTTCTGGCTGAGACCCATATTCAGGGGAGTCCGAGTCAGACCTCTGTTGGCTTCCCAGCTATCAGTCTAGTGGCCCTTAGCTCCTCCTTGTTCAGGTAAGCTGTCTCTATGTACTTCTACCGCATGGTCTTGTCCTCTCCATCTGCTTCTGGGTTCTAGTTTGACTCAGTGTTTATGTATGGGTGTTTGCTCCTGTTTTCAACAGGCATTAGTTGAGGACTCCATGTAGAAGTTAGTTGTTGATCTCTCTCTCCGGGAAGGGCATTTATGATAGCCTTTCCACGGAAGCTGAGATTGTTAGTTGGGAGCAGTCTTGTAGTTCCCTCGACCTTTCTTTGTGTTCAACTTTATCTTCAAACCAATATTGGCTCCCTCTTTTATGTTCTCTCTCTCTGTCTCTGTCTCTCTCTCTCTCTTTCCTATTTTCCATTCCTAACCAGGCTCAATCCTCCTAGTCACACATGCCTTCCTCTCCTCCCTCTCATTTTCTCCTACTTCTCTCTCCATTAGCTGTCCTCCCCCACTATACCTGAGGTCTGGGGGACTTGTCCCTTCCCAGTTCTGTGAGGGACTTTATATGAATCTCTTAGAATACAACTTGTATCCTAGTTCCTCTGGTGATGTGAATTATAGGCTGGTGATCATTTGATCTAGGTCTAAAATCCATATATGAGTGAGTACATACTGTGTTCCTCTTTTTGTGACTGGGTTACCTCATTCAGGATGGTTTCTTCAAGTGCCATCCACTTGCCTGCGAATTTCAAGATACCATTATTTTTTTCTGCAGAATAGTATTCCATTGTGTAGATGTGCCACATCTTCATTAACCATTCTTCAATTGAGGGGCATCTAGGTTGCTTCCAGGTTCTTGCTATTACAAATAATGCTGCTATGAACATAGTTGAACAGATGTCTTTGTTGCATGGATGTGAATCCTTTGGGTATATGCCTAAGAGGGGGATTGCCGGTCCTGTGGTAAACTAATTCCCATTTTCCTGAGGAACCGCCATACTGATCTCCAAAATGGCTGTATGAGTTTGCACTCCCACCAGCAGTGGAGGAGTGCTCCACTTTCTCCACATCCTCTCCAACATAAGTCATCACTGGTGTTTCTAATTTTAGCCATTCTGGCAGGGGTAAGATGGTATCTCAAAGTTGTTTTGATTTGCATTTCCGTGATAGCTAAGGATTTGGAGCATTTTCTTAAGTGTCTTTCAGCCTTTTTGATTTCCTCCATTGAGAATTCTTTCTTCAGTTCTGTACCCCATTTTTTAATAGGGTTATTTGGTGTTTTGTTGACTAGTTTCTTGAGTTCTTTGTATATTTTGGAGATCAGCCCTTTGTCGGATATAGGATTAGTGAAAATCTTTTCCCAGTCAGTGGGCTGCCATTTGGTCTTGTCAACTGTATCCTTTGCCTGACAGAAGCTTCTAAGTTTGAAGAGGTCCCATTTATTAATTGTTTCTTTCAGTGTCTGTGCCCCTGGAGTTATGTTCAAGAAGCGGTCTCCTATACCAATTTGTTCAAGGGTACCTCCTACTTTCTCTTCTAGGAGGTTCAATGTGGCTGGATTGATGTTGAGGTCTTTGATCCATTTGAACTTGAGTTTTGTGCATGGTGACAGACATGGGTCTATCTGCAGTCTTCTACACACCCTCATCCAATTGTGCCAGCACCATTTGTTGAAGATGCTGTCTTTGCCCCATTGTATAATTTTAGCTGTTTTGTCGAAAATCAGGTGTTCATAGGTGCGTGGATTAATATCAGGATTTTCAATTTGGATAGCATACTGTCAGCAGTCAAGGCAAAGGCACTTTTTTGCCCAGTGGCTTTCTTTTGCCACAAGAAAGTAAGCTCCATTTAGAGTTTGTTTGATGCCCTTCACTTCTCTGAAGTAGATTGGTGCTAGAAAGAGCAGACATGTCTTATTATCATAAAAATCTTAAGTTATTCAAACATCTTAAATAGCATATTCTGTATATCTTTGAGGTGTTTGAAGGTGACCTGTCTATCTAAACTATATCTCTCTTTGACTTTGAAAATATACCTAATGTGTTTATAAGTTCAAGTGTAATAGTTGCTAATTACAAATCTGCAATGCCTTATTATCCTAAAGAGTTGGTAATAATAACTTTCAAGAACTACAAATTTATTACATTATTAAATATGTTGTATAGGTACAATAAATTGAAAATAATTTGAAATGAATGTGCAGTATATCCTAATAAAAATTATCATAAATTTTTATCAATATACAAGACTGCATATTAATGTAAAATATATAAAACTAGTAGTTGCTTTCTCGGTTTAAAAGTAGATTCAGTAATCTAGGTTTTTATCTTATTTCTATATCCCTCCTTTTTCTTTTGATAATAGATTCAATAATACACTCTTATGTCCTATCATATCTATACCCCATTTAACCTTTCAAAACAAAATCCATGAAACTAAATTTTTGTTCAGCTTTTCCTGACAATTATAAATAACAACCTAAATGATGACAAATATTCATGACCCATTGAATAACCAAAACCATCCTCCCAACCTCTTGGGAATATGGGCATCCTGTCCTTAAATTTATTTCATGCTGTCTGGGACCATGGTATCTTTTGGAGATCCTAAGAGATGTAGCTGTATCATTTATTGTCCAGTCTGTGTATAATGGGAAAGTGTAGAGCTTATCACAAGTCTTGGCTAGAGTAGTCTCTGAGGCTGGACCATCTCAGCTAGACGAAACAAAATTGTTCTGAGCAGTATGTAGTCAAAAGCTGATCTGTAGGTGATGTTTGTCAGCTTAGCGGCATTGTCATAGTCATGGTGGAATCATCAATGTGTGGCCCCATCATCCTTTACAGATTATAAAGGTCACTGTTAGCTGTGCTCATAGTTCATTGCAGAAAACTTCAACATTTTAAATGTCATATGCATCAGATCTGAAAGAAGTTAAAGGACACTACTTTGTTATGTACATGCAGAATAAAAACACTAATTCCTAATTATCTGGTAGACTCAAACCTGAAATCAAGTATAGGTAGATAAAGCCTTCTAGAATCAGTGCTCTATGTGACAATTAATATCAAGATAAAATTTTAATATATGTATACATATAAACATATATGTTAATCTTAAAAAATAGATTGTATTTATACCTTAAGAAAAGTTTTTAAATGACAAAACCAAAGGGTTATAAGATTAGTGGCAGTAGAATTTTTCTGAAATTTTTGTTTTACTTCTGTCCCCTATGAGCTGACTCTTTGACATAAGGCAGAAAATTTTGATTTTATTTTAACAAGCATGCTTGTTAAGGAGAGAGCCACATAGCAACTCCAATGTCAGCTTTAATTTTTAATTGTACTGGGACAACATAAAGATCATTTGTGTTATGTCTATAGAGAACAGCCAAAACAAATATTTTAGAAGACATATGAAATTTTATCCTTTTGAAAGTGTGATATAAGAATAGGCCAATTTAATCTTTTTCTTGGGACATTATATTATGGAAGATTTGTTCTTTTTTGATGTCTCATCTGTTCAGTGGTCTTGAGACTCCTTACCTGGATGCCTTAATTCTCCTGAGAAGACAAACATTGTGGCGTTTCTTTTTGGCAAGTTATATCTGATAAAATGATAAGCACTTGCTAGTCTTATAAGTTAGTTTAGATTGAATGGCCACACTGTTTGAGGTACTATCCCCTCTTCTAATCAAGTGGTCTCTCCTGTTCAAAATGAACCTTTATCA